AAAACCAAAACAAGATCGGTTAGATCTAATTTTAATCTATTTTGGTAAATTAATCTAGAAGAGGTCTGCACCATCACTTCACTTCTACTGATAAATAAAACTGATTCTGTTTCTGGTCACAATTCTTTTAATTTATATTTAATAAAATAGGGTTTTATTAATTGTATTGGTAGCACATCTAGAGTTTCCATGTGAAATAAGAGCACCATCACACTAAGCACTGTACATGGAGTGAAAGATATTCCCAACACCTAAGAGCTTTCAGTCAAGAGACAAGATAGAGGCCAGAGAGGAAGTGAATTGTCTAATGTCATAGACGGTTATTGGCAGATCTGATGTAGAACCCAGATCTCCTGAGTCCCAGTCCAGTGCCCTGTCCTTTAGCAGCTGATATCTTAAAGGGGAAAAATTAGGTTAAGGTGTCACTCCTGCTGTTGGTGCTTATACATTAGACCCTTTTCTGAATACAGGGCACAGGATACACTGGGAAACATACAGGCATTTAAGCAGTTGTATGTAGGAGCCTCTACGACAGGAGATCCCCCACAAAAGTGGAAGATGCATAGAATGTGTCTGACTAAAAATCTGATAGAAGTCACAAAATATTATATGCATGTTTTAAAAAGAAGCTCCTCTCTCACTTCCAGATTATGGGGATAATCAGTTAAACACCCTCCACATCACTGGCAGCAGAAAGACTGTTTGCTAGTGCACAGGCTGTTTATTTTTTAAACTTAGACGTTTCATATGTGAAACAAAACAGTCCAGTGAACAGCCAGAACTTACATAATAGAATTACAAAGACTGCAAGATCATGGCTCCTTACGAGCAAGAATACAAGTCAGCTTTTACCACCTAGGGTGACCAGATGTCCCGATTTTATAGGGACAGTCCCAATTTTGGGGTCTTTTTCTTATATAGGCTGCTATTACCCCCCACTCCTTGTCCCGATTTTCCCCATTTGCTGTCTGGTCACCCTATTACCACCAGACCTGCAGGAGACCTACAGTACTATCTATAACAAAATGAATCTCTTTTTCCGAGATAGGCACCCATGATATGAAAGGAAGGAAAGATTCATAAAGAGGAAGCTACGTGGAATTGATCTCAATCTGAGTCACGATTCTAACCAGCCTCTGAATATTGTAATATAATGGCTTACAGTCGTGCATCTGAGAAAGGGAACAAATGAAGTATGTTATTTAGCACAGATATTGCCTGCAGGTTAGGCTCCATTGTGCTAGGCACATAGCCTACAGTATAGCATCCAGACTGCATGTCACTACAGGAGATCACTAGGAATGAGAACATTTTCCTTTACTTTTAACTTATTGGGTGTGAGTTTAGTGCTGACAGCTCTGGAGACCAGATGCCTCTGTTTATCCCTAGAACAGGTACAAAAACAGCAATAGCAACAATGCCAGCTTCCCTCACAGACTGCTACACAATATGGATCAACAACCCCACTCTGGAGAGGAAGAGTTCAGTCTCTAGCTCCTATTCAATCCCGGTCTTCCGCAAAGGCTGCCAAATAAAGAGCTCATTAGACCCAATTGCAATGATGGGTTTAAATGACAGGCACTGAGACCAAACATTTCCCATAGACTATTTCCCTTTTGGAATGAGAAGCCTCCACCTCTGTATAATACAAAAAAAATTGTTGCATCTTTATGCTCATTTTAACTATCACCACGGGATGTTGCTTTTAAAACTACAACACACAAACAGTGGGCCCAGAAAGAATTTGGTAAAGATCTCTGAGCTGACCGAACTGACTTTCGGGCATATTTAAATACTCAGCTCATATGCTATAGACAGCCACTTTTACCCTAGCAATCCATCAAATATTCATGGCAACACAGGTATCTTCCAGGGGTCACTTGGGTCCCTAACAACTAATACAGTTTGCCTTAACACCTCCCTGGTCCCCAGTTTTGCATCCTGCTTCCTGACTGCATACATCAGGATGCAATTATACAATTACATCCTATTTCACTCAGTTAAAAGGTCATGATTATCAGCAGCTCTGGGCAGACACTTGATAATATCCCCTCCCAGCATATGGATGCACAAGCTTGTGCCATGACTCACAAAAGGGCCTGTGGATGCCAGCATTCTTCACCTTTTTAAACTGGAAAGCACAGCAAAATCTGGATGCCTTACAGCCACCTGAATCTCTGTGATAAAGAGACTGTGCCTGCAAAACTAAGGCACTCAAGTATCTCAGATCACAGCATCCGGCCTTCTGAATCCAGTTACCTCTGAAAATGTTTGCACTGTATATGTTAGAAACCCTGAAAAAACCATAAAGAACTAGATTAACCACTTGTTAACTAGCCACTTCTTTGCCCACACAGCTGTTATCTAAGCTGTTTGCTGAACTGCTGCCATTTCACTATAGAAACTGGTGCTGCTGCAGTTTATTACACTCCCAAATGGGAATCTCTCTAAACATATAGGCAGCACTTTGCAGTAGGTGGAAAGAAAAGGCACACATCAATAAGCACAAGGGAAGCAAGTCGTCTATACTCTGTTTTATCAGTGACATTTGGATCAGCCCCCGCGTGTACTAATCAAAGCCCACCCTGCTTCGTGAAAGATCAATGCTTGTTCTGTGGGGAAAGAGAATGCTTCATGGCTTTATCTCCCCTGCGGACTCACAGGGAAAGGGGGAGAGGAGGGTCAAGAATGGCATGAAAGGGATTCATGCTGACAGCTTACAAAGAACAGCTGTCCCAAATGTCTCCAAAGACTGAAAGTGTTGGGTTGCTCTACAAAGGTCTCCAACTTAAGATGTATTAGGCTTAAAAAGGGACCAGACTGAGAAAAATTTGACTAACTCAAATTTGCTGCCTTTATTCTGTTATAAGATTTTCTCAGCTCAATCCTCTCCCCAGCAAGACTACTCAGTGATCCATTTTCCTGCCTGCTGCACACACTTCTTCCTAGTTCTGACGCTTTCCCATTTTTAGTCCAAATTGCACCCACCATCATAGTACTTAAGCGCTTACTCCTTAATCTTCCTCCCACATGTTAGACAACTTAGCCTATCTGTGATATGATCCAAGGATCAAAGGCTGAGGGATGGGAAGCCACCTCCCTGTCCACGTTCTGTAGAGCGCACGCTGTTGTGTATGCACAACTTTACTTCTCACCTACCAACTTTAACACCACAAAATAAATATTCCTCAGATCACTGAAGGATTAAGTTGGCATTCGACAATATCTCTGGCAGGTAAATACATTTAAACACACAACACTGGAGTATGCACAAACCAAACTGTTTAACTAGGAATAGCATGAAACTCCTGTCGTTCCTTCTCCCTTCCAGAAATAATACACAAAGGCACCAGTGCCAGCACTACAGAAATCCTATTGGCTGAACATTAGAAATGCAACCTCTCAAGCATCAATGTGTCCACTATCCCAGTAACTGCTCAGTGTCTCATCTTGGCTTAAAGTCAATATGTAGGAGCACAAAAGTATTAGGATGGAAGGAGGCCAGGCATCTGCCAAAACACAATCTGTCAGTGGTACCCCACTAAATACTCCGGTAGTAAATATCCTTCAAAGAACTATTTACACTAAATACCGGTATTGCTGCCTTTGGTAGTCCCGCACTTGTATTTTAACTGATCTCTGCAAACAGAAATTCTGCTTGAGTTCCAATAGGTCAAGTCTTCATTACCTTTGTTCTCATATCTGACATTAACTGAAATTGCTATGCAGCATCTTATTCCATTGCCTTTAGAAGCAAGACCCACAAGCCCTGACATCATTAGTTTGGCCATCTTATGCCCTCTGATAGTCTCAAATGTCACTTGTTTTGCTGCATCTGTACCTAGAATAAGCATTCCTCTAACAGTCAACTCCACTTTCATGCAAACTGAGATAGCATCTGCAGCATTTACTAGCAACTCTTCCACATGGAGACAAGTCCCAACCACCTCCTGACACGAGTACTATGTGCTTGTTCAGTTACCAGGAACTGTTCAGAGAGCTAGTAGATAACTGTTACTGATCTAAGTCAATTAATCTGTCCTTTAAGACCAACAGTTCTCAACTTTGCCTAGCTGCAATACCATATGATCAGTGAACGGAGTCACAAAGCCACAAAATCCTGGTGTGATGACTGACATTACACTGACAAAGCATGTAGCTACAAGATAGTTATGTATGTAGTCAGAGGACACTGCACTGTGATTACTGTGTGGCTCATTTGGGCCAATGTTCTGGGTGAAATTCCACCCTTTAACTCCAGCCTTCTACATTCATGCAACACTAAATACTTCAGGGGCCAATGGGTAGATATTATCTCTTCTTCCTCTGCTAGGAAACTCACTGCTCCCTTGTGTGTTATGGGCAATATGAGGAGTGCTCCTGTGATCAACCCTCCCTCTTGCTCTGCTCACAATTAGACCAACAGCCACATGCGAAATTAAAACTACAGACTCAGAATCAAGAGTTTAGACCAGGGATTGGCAACCTTTGGAAAGTACCCTGGCGGGCCAATCGCGGCTCCCACTGGCTGCGGTTCACCGCTCCAGGCCAATGGGGGCGGCAGGAAGCGGCACAGGCCGAGGGATGTGCTGGCTGCTGCTTCCCGCCGCCCCCATTAGCCTGGAGCAGCGAACCGCGGCTCACCCAAACCTGCGGAAGCGGCAGGTAAACAAACCGGCCCAGCCAACCAGGGTGCTTACCCAGGCGAGCCGCATGCCAAAAGTTGCCAATCTCTGGTTTAGACATTAGCCCTGCCACAGTTGTTTTCCTGTCTCTACATATTGAGGGCACAACTTTCAACTTGCCTCAAAAATAATGTCCCATTGGTTAATAAAACTTTTCTAACAAATCACACTGCAAGTAGATGACCTATAAGCAACGTGCCTTCCTCATATGCAGAAGCATACTAGAACTTAAAAATGGTGCAAGAGAAATATTTGTTAAGCTTAGAGTTCAGTCTTTAACATGGTAATCCACAAAGGCACAGGTTTATTTGTCACCTCTATACTGAAGTAGCCTCTGTCCACATAGTCTCCCAGGAAGAGGTAGCGGGTGTTATTGGGTGATCCTCCAACTTCAAACAACTTCATCAGGTCAAAGAACTGCCCATGAATGTCACCACACACTAAGGGAGGAAGGACAGCAAAAAAAGGGAATTACATTCTAAGAAGAGGAAGGTCATGGCAGCAACAGGGAGCATGGCTTCACTTTGATCTAAGCTACTGTGGCATTATATACAGCTTCTGTGAAAACTTTATCTATGCTACCAAAATGCTCCATCTTCTGGGATGGAAAGCAATTTTAAAACCCCACTGCCTGAACAATGATGGAAAGAACACGCAGCAGCAGATCTGCTATTTTTGGCAGCTTGCGATTCTAGATAGCCCTTATACGTGATGTCAGCTTCAGAAAGCTCTCTCTGACCTGTGATTGGAGCCTCTACTTCAATCATGGTCTTCTCATGCCTCAGAATGGCAGCCCCATCATTGATTATCTTCAATGCTGCATCCTCTTCTAGCCGCCCTTCCTTCACCAAGTGGCTTTTCAAGACATCAAGCCTGGGCTTTCCATCCTCAAACACTTCCTTCAATGTGAGCCGCTGCGTGGGGGGAAATGGGACAGCTAGAAAACAGAAGAAAAGACATTAGCAATGTGTCTCTTTAAAGGGACTCATACTCACATTTCAGCATTAGACTTCTGTCCAGCACTCAGACATGAACAGTCACAAGCATCTGTTTCAATACACATTTGTCTTCTCAAATGCAACAATATCAAAGTTATGCTTCCAACCCAGTTAACAGACAGCCTCACATTAAAAATCACCATATACAGCCATGCAAAATGTTATCTGCATACCTGGGGCGGGTAACAGGGGTGCAAAACTACAGTTGATGTGGGAACTAAAGTGCTTCCTGACTTCAGTGAGGGAAACCACTACCATAACACTGTTTTAGAAGGGATAGGTTATGGGTGCAAATATTGTATACCAGCAGAATAACTAGCCAAACATACTTTTTTGTAGAGAACAGAAATCAAGTGTTGGTTATCTGGAGCTTAGGAGACGAGCATTAGTGCTTGCAGCTCAACCTGCATAGTTTATCAGGAAGTTGCTTTCACCTTTACAATAATCTTGCACTTTATTCAGCACATGCACTATTTTAAGTGTGACTCATACAGGCTCAGCTCTGGGTAGCACTTGGCTAGTCATGTTGATACCCTGTATTCATTTATTGTACATATTCTAAGGCACCCATCACTTCAGTATCTAAGCATACTTTTGAGATACACTGCTTAACTTTCACCGTGTTAAAGAAGGTGACACGTCAAAAGCCACTATACTTTCATGAAAGAGAATTGTGTTATTTGTTAACGGCTTCCAGCAGAAGGGAGGTATTTGAAATTTGGAAGAAAAATCTCTAATGATTTGTTAGAGGTGATCAAATTAAGATTCCTCCCTGCCATCTCTCAGGTCAGGATAAATTAAAAATAAAAAAAAACAAGTGACCCTTGCACAGTATTTCAAGGATACAGTGTTTCTATTTCTGAAAAATGACCTCCAGAAAGACTGAATGCTGAGGGTGCTCTCGAAACAGCAAGAAAAGGGAGACTAAAAGTAAAATCCTGTCAAGCAGATGTAAAAGCATGTACCCCAACTAAAGGTGGTGCCAACATACAACGTGACTTGCATGTAGCTATTTGCCTCTCTTTTCACAAAGATGTGGTGTAGAGATGATCTTGGGTCCTGAATCCATTTCCTTTTAGAAATATCTTAAATAACCATGTATCTTTTCAACCATCTACCCTTGGCTTTTCTCCTACAGCCCCCATCACTGCAGTATCTAAATGCTCAAGATAAAGCATTACTAGGAAACACTCCACAGGGAACAATTCGGCATTGGGAAGAAGAGGCTAGGGTACAGATATATTAGGAGGAATTCTACTTCGAGGGACACCACTGGGACACTGCACACTACTGTGAGCGTAAATTGACAGGAAAAAAACCCTTAACTGGTCAGGGAAAATTCCTGCAGTGCAGGTACTGTTTATGCAGATCCCTCATCAGCTGTGACATAGGGGATAGGGCCATAGTGCACATCTCTGTGGAGATTGTGGTAGCACTGCTGTCCACAAGCAGTTGGGGACTGCCCCTGGAATCCTGATGGCACAAAAGTGGCTTAAAGACACCTTAGTCACTCCCGCCCCTGGGTGTGCCTGCATGGCTTGCATCTCCAAGTGTCACAGCACACAATCCCAACTTTGACTAGATAAGGTATCAGGTCTTTCCCATCTCCAACTTCAATGTTATGACCATGTACCGGGAAAATGGATTTTCTCTTAACTCTAAACCAGATGCAACACAAAATTATTACTGAAATGCAAATGAAGTTGATGTCCCTAGCAATCACCAATGAAAGACATTCAACATGCCAAACTGTTGAATTTATAAGCATGGTAAGGTTGCTAATCAAACAATACAGTGACTAACAGAAATGTAACTGATCTCTCTTAAGTGCAAATACAGTAGCTCCTTAGGGTTGGTCTCCACTTACGATGAAAGTGGAGACAAGCCTTAAGGAGTGAAGATCCACTAAATTGACCACAAATCGCTCTCCCATTAACTCCGGTACTCCACCGGAACGGGAAGAGTAAGGGGAGTCATCGGGATAGCATCTCCTCTCAACATAGCATAGTGGGGACCCCACAAACTTGAGTTACGCTACTAATGTCACTCAAATTGTGTAGCTTAGATTGACTTCCCCCCATAGTGTAGACCTGCCCTTAGTTTGGAAACCCAGGGGCAGAGAGGAAGACAGCAAGTTTGTACCAGAGGGTATGTCTACACTGCAATTAAAATCCTGTGGCTGGCCTCTGCCAGCTGACTCCAGCTAAGGGGCTGTCTAATTGCAGTGTAGCTGTTCAGGCTGGGGCCAGAGCCTGAGCCCTGGGACCCTTAGCATGAGCCCTGCAAGCCTGAGTCAACTAGCATGGGCCAGCCAAGGGTGTATAATTGCAGTGTAAGCATATCCAGAGTGTCTTAGAAGCTGAACATTATTTTCCAATAATGTGGAATGTAGGACAGAAGGAGAACAAGACTGGATGTAATGAAAGGAGACCCAGTCTGTGACTGGAATAATGTGACAACTTTACTCATTGTCAGAAAGAAACTGCAGGATTTGGCAGCTGGATAGGCTTGGATACAGGAGAAGGAAGGAGAGGGACACCAATGAGTGGAGTACAAATCTGTGTACAGCACCCAGCACACTAGGGCCCCATCCTGATTGGAGCTTTCAGACATTACTGTAACTAATCAATCATATTAAAAGTTAATTCTTGTATGGAACTCAGCATTTGTCCTATCTGTCCTTATGGCAGGCTCACAGAATTTGAGAGTCAAATGATTCATAAGGGGGAAGAAGAAAATTCACGATAAATCAGGAATTATTTTATGTAGCCAATATACCACCTCACTGCTTTCTCAAGTCTTCAAGATGGCCAGTAACTCTAACATCACCCTAAGCTTTTAAAGCTCTTAAGAAAAAGTCAGACCACAGAATTTAGGATAGCATGTTTAATGAAAAAGGTATGTGATCACAGAAGAGGCAGTGCCCATCCACAATTCAGAAACAATCCAGGAAAAACTCCTGGCAAATTCTGCCTTGCCATTTCCCAGTAGTCTTAGTAAGTAGAGTCTTATGCAAGATAAAATGAGGATTATTTGTGCCAATCCATTGATGTGAGCAGCCAAGAACTTTTATGTACTTTTCACTGCTATCTTTATGTGACTGTTAACTCCCAGATGAAATCGAATACAAGTGATCAACTTCTTTTCTGCTCTGCCAATTTGTCCACCACTCTGCAGTGACCCTAGAGGAATGGGTGCTGCATACATACACCAAGGAGGAGAATTTGCGCCAATTACTACTGCATCTCCTACTGTCTATGGGAATATACTCCTCACTTCACTTCCTACAGACCAAGCCAAAACCAGTGTTCTCTGTTTTTTAAGCTAGTACTATAGTAAGGTGCTGGAATAGTAATTAAGCTACTATTTCTGGAGAGGACCAAATATGCCAGAGTCCACAAGGAGGACAGATGAAAAATCCTCCCAACTAGACAGAGGGGTCAAAATTGGAGGCTCCAACAAAAACAAAACCCACCCAATATTATTAAGCAATGATTATGTCTCCTGCACACAGTAAGTGATAAGGATGAGCATTTAAGTAATCAGTGTTGCCAAAGCAAATAATCCTGTTAGCCAGCATAACTTGTATAAAGGCTTTAATCAACTCAGTGCAAGTAATTATCCCATGTACTAATTTTCATCTTTATAGATTATGCCCTCATTTGCACTCAACCCCATTGAAATGGTCAATACGGTAAGAAGGTGCTGTGGAGGAAGTTTCTTTTCAATACTACCTTTAGTTTGCAAAGGGTACAGACTGCTTCATCTAGTGGTTAGATAGAGAGATTGGGAGCTACGAGAGCTGGGCCCAAGTCCTGGCTCTGCCATCATCTCACACCATGGAGCTATACATTTTTCTCTAGGCCTCATCCTCCCTCATCTGTAAAAGGTGTAAATACTTACCTACCTCAGAGGGGAATGAGAAGGATCGTTAGACTGTCAAAGTACTCTGAAGATGAAAAGTACTAAATTGATCTGACACGAGGCTCCCAAGACACTGCCCATAAATACTAAGTTTAAGAAAGTTCAAAGAGGGTGAAAGGTGCACATAACATTGAACTTCTCATGATCATTCACTAAGATCCTCATGCCCACTCCTTTTGTTTACTGTCATGCCCTGTGTCAAATCTAATTTAGACTACAAAATCCTTGCGGCAGGGGCTTACGATTTTGCAAAGCACCATACACACCCAGTATAATGAGTAATATATTAGAATTCCTGGTTAGCAAAACAGCACACATTTTATACCACGTGCCATGCAATGACAAAGGGACACAAGCGCACGTGAACTTTGAGATGTAAACATCCATGATCTAAAATGGATTAAGGGGTTAGTCGTGTTTCAAGGACTAGTCAAGTCGTGTTTCAGTAAAAGAAAGAGGATGGCAATATCCTTGCCAAACTGCAGTGCAAGAATGGATGTTTGGTGAAATTAACATGCTCTATATTTACAAATCCAGGTGTACACACGAACTGTAGGTATTCTTAGCCTGCAAACTAAGAGGCTGAATATGGCAAAAGGCTATTTACAGAATGACAACCTGACAAAAAGCCACTTCGCTGAAACACTGCAAAACCAGATATCAGGCAGCTCAAGTGTGGAACCAACTCACCTACAAAAAAGTCACTCTGCCACTGCCAAATCTCCATACTCCTTTATGTAGAAGGCCTGCTCTTTTTCTACATTACAGCTTAAAATGTTCATAATACTGTTACAGCTGCACTAATGCTACACATCTATTAAACATGGTAATAGTCTTCTCGAGCATAGACTGGGTTAGGCAATGCAATCTGTAGCATAGTGTTATAACACTGTGGTTAATGTGTTCATAAAAAAATGCTTATCACTGGTCAAAGAAATCATGCTAGTAACAAACGTTAAACAAGATCAGAATTAAGTAATCCACACCTTCAAAAAGAACAGATCCATGCTATGAA